GATACAAGCTGATGGATGCAAAATTGGATGAATCTAAAACCGTAAAAGACCTCGGCATCTATGTAGCAGAAGATCTAACATGGAAAGCGCACTTTGATAAATGACCAAAGAAAGCGAACAAAGTTTTCTACATGATCAGAAGGAATCTAGCTGTGAACGTAAAAACCTTCAAAAAGCTTGGTTTGAACAAATCGCTCATTCTGCCAATCCTGTTATAAGGATTCTCGTGTGTATCTGCCTCCCCAGCAGAACTCCAGTCTCCTGAACGTTTTCAAAAAAGGTTGCCAGATGGATAACAGGTATCAAGGGATCGTGCTATGGAAATCAGTTACAACTTCTGAATATTCTGCCACTTCCAATGTTCATTCAAATGAGTGGTATTTTGTTCCTCGCAAAGGTTATCACCAAAGATGACGAGATTATTAGTTTACCTGAGCGTCAAGACCCTCAAAGAAGAATCACGCGGAAGTGTTTAAACATTACAAGACGAGGACTGGAAAGGCCAGAGGTGAATTTGTCTTCAGAAATTGCAGGCTTGTTAATCGAATCGAGAAATACATCGACATCAAAAAACCTATCGGATAAAAAAGTAGATTGATCAAATCCATGTGGAAATTTGTTAATGAACGATTCTCAGAAACAAATGTCTGCATTAACTCACTTTGCAATCTCTCATTTCAGACAGTTATTCTCAAACTAACTGAGAAACAACTATATTATAACTCAGTACCCATTATTCCGCCTAAGCGTAAACTAACCGTAATCTTTTCGCTAAGTTTGCCTATTTGAGTTTTAGTTGTAATTAGAGTTATGATCGTCCCTACAAGGCCTGAAATTTACTTTGGTACCTCTTACGTAAAATCTTCCACTGACGACATCTATACTATATTTAAATGCTAGTGACAGCCATCTCTCATGTTTAAGCATAATAATTTCGCATGTTAAACGGATTTTTTTTTCATGTTTAAGCTACATCATATACTGCAATGCTTAAGAAAATTTTTCATTTAGTTTTCCGCAAGGTCATTAATTTTTCAGTAATTTTTTTTCGAGGCCAAATTAAGTCTGTCTGTCTGTATACCTGCTTTTTTAAATTAAGTTGATTGTCTGCCTACCCGTCTCCTAATTTTTAAAACTTTTTTCTATCAAATCTATTATATTTGTAAATGCGGGCTTCACTATCTCGCCATGTTTATGCTTTTTCAATGTATTTTTTTGCATCGTAACAAAATAATTTTTTCACGTTTAAGCTATATCAAATATTGCAATGGTTTAGGTTTTTTTCAATTTTCCCGTTTGAATTCAGTTAAATCTTGCGTCCAAATGCGACTGCTCAATTGCTTTTAGCTCCCCAGATGTGACGTTTCTTAGTTCATTTTAAGTTTTTCGAAGAACTTCACAAAATTTTACGGTTCTTCAAAATTTGTATAAAAAAAAATTTGAATAAAATCTTTGCAAAATTTGTAATTACGAACCCTGTAATTGGGTGCTGTCAAACCACAAAACCAGACTCAAAAAATGCAGATCTTTTTTCCAATATATGCGGTTTACAATGAGTACCGGAGGTGCATTTTACGCTAGTTAGTCATGAAAGCCAAGTTTACCATAGGTATCTTCAACTAAGTTGTGCAAATATCAATTTAATTTTAACTCTAAATCAGGTTATGTTCAATTAGTCATTCCCAAAGTTTTCATTTACCCTTGCGATAAGCACGGTTGTTGCAAACGGGTACTAGACTTTTTTCCCGTAAACAACTTTGTCCGCAGGAAATGATCTGGACGTCTGTACTCATCTCTACCTTGTTCCATAGTGTATACGAATTTCTTAGCGCCCTGGGCAACATAGCCTGGAGGTAACGAATATTCCTGGTACGGCGAAGGTCCTGTTTCGAATCTGACCAGGGCCTGATTTTGTTCAATAGGGAAATATTCTGTTTCATATAAAATTGGCCAATTTTTTGTCCGCTTATCTGTTGTCGGCTTGGCTGTTTTCTTTCATGTTGTTTTTAGTTTTTAATTTACGCCTACACTTTGTAATTTTACTTACCTTGACTTTGTATTTCCTTTGTTTTTTTTTTGTTTCGCTAAAATAGATCTTCGGTAAAAATTACTTCGACCTTTTTTTCCTCGGCTCAATGACCTTATTTTTAGCCGTTTCAAGATAAACACAATTTTAGCACTTCCCTCCGCATTTTCATGTTGGTTGTTTTTTTAACCTATTTATTTCTTGAATTTTCATATTTGTTCGTTTTGCAAATTTTTTTTCACTTTTTGCTAAAGTTTTAGTTTTCTCAGAAATTTCTACTGACTTTCAAAAAGGGTTATCAATTGAAAGTCCGCTTAATATTTGACCCATAATTTTTTTTTTTCGTTTTCTCGAAAATTACTACTCTCAAATATGAGTGTGAGGTTTCAATAATTTAAAATTTTTGAAAAGCTTTCCTGCAGAAGTGGCTACGACCGAATTTTTTTGCACATAAAGTTATGGCCCTCGGAATAGTCAAGTTGTTGATTTTTGGCTCTTTTGTCAATCTTTTCGACTGTTCTGAAAAACTAACCTCTCAAATTCGATATTGTGGGTTCAGAGAGATAACGGGTAGTGGGAAGTCCTCTGCCCTAGCAGGCACAAACACAAAGTTTTATATAATAAGTTATCGTCCTCTGAAAACAGAAATTTTGATTTTTTCATTTTTTTTTATATTCTCGAAAACTACCCTTCCATGCCCGAGATTTTGGGTTCAGTTCTCTTAAGGGGTTTCGTGTAGCGCATTTGCTTATGTGCGAATAAGACTCTCAATTCTTTTACTCCAAAAGTTTTCGCCTTCGGAAAAGTAAAAATTTTGATTTTGTGACCGTTTTTCACTCAAAAAGCTATAAATCTTGGTATCGTCAAATTTTTGATTTGTTGTTGACCGTTTTTTGGACTTTATCGCTAACTGTCCTGCCACATCTAAAACTGTAGGTTTAATCAAATGATGTTGATGACAGTTTTGATTATGTGAGAGTTTATTGACTTCACGCGAAAACTACTGGTCCAATTCTCAATCGATAAACCCGGCTTTGGAAATCTTCTCTGCTTAATGCCATAACGTGCTGTTTGCAGAAAAATTTAATCATTTTTGGAAAGTTTTGAACGTTTTTTACAACTTTTGGCCGTTTTTCGGAAACTTGAGTTTTCTTATACTTCACGCAATCAAAACTGAGATGAAAAATTCCATCGAAATAAGGGGTTGCGATAATTGTTTCTGCAGAAGCAGCGGTTCTATAGTTTTTAGCCATGAAATTGTAATAAAAAGTTTTTAGCGCTATTTTGGGTTGAAAAACTTCAAAAGTTCAAAACCATTCCTACAAAAAAAACTGATTTCGACAAAAACCGTCGCGCGATTTGCCAATTTTACAGTGAATGTCAAGTATACCTAAATTTCAGGTTTTATTTTGATCCCTTTGTCACGCTGCGCCCAAAAAATAACACTATTTTGCAAAAACACATGAAAAAAACGGCTACTGCACACCAGCTGGCTATCCTTATTAATATTTCACTCTGATTGATAGGTTTTTAAATTACCCACACCGAATATCTAATCAATCTTATGGTTAAAAAATTGAAATTTTTTCTCGTGGAATGGACAGTTTGGAAGATGAATCGGTATTGAGGGAGACCCAGAATTTCTTTTCGGCTAGAAAATAGCTTTTAAACCAGAATTGATGGTTGTTCCGACCATTAAAATGGGAAGGAACTTTATATTCGGGTGTGTTTTAGTTTGTTTTCTTTTTGTTTTCCTCGCAAAATCAGGTACCATAATTAATGATCGGACTAGTTTGAGTGATCAATCCAATTAAAGCTCTTTCAGTCGTGATTCGAACGACATAATTTCAAAATTTCATGATATCGAGAAAAACCGGTTTGAAATTTTTGATTTTTGGTCTAGTTTTGAGCAAATAAGGTGACCGTGTATGCTTGCAATAGCTTATTTAAGCTTAATTCAAGCCGTGAAAACTTAGTTTTACTCAAGTTAAGGTAGTTTTCGGAGTTTTTTTGAGCAATTTTGGGAATCAAATTTTGAAAATTCAAAAAGTTACTGCAAAAAAATTCGAAAAAAAATCTTCAAAAATTGTTTTCCTATAGACCTATTTAACTATGATTCTCAAGTATACTTAAATTTTTTTTTCAGAACTTTATCACGACACCATTTTGAAATATTTTTTTTTGTTTTTTTTTTAAGACTGGTCGTAACATTCTGTGCTTCGTGCACAGTAACTGGCTATCTTTGTTTCTATTTATATTTGCTTCTGAAACTACGTAAATTAAAGGAGCAATTTACTGTTAACTAAATAGATAATTCAAGGTGGAATAAGTAAAGAAAATATAGCTACAGTAATCACTTGAAGCGCACAAGACATTTTGTTAAAAGTTTCTTACAGCAAGTCACTATTATTTTGCATCAATGTTTACAAAGGACCAAACGCTCTCGTTCGGAGAGGAATCTTATTTCAAAACGCAAAAACCTGCGGTAACAGACATTAAATTCCATTGATTAATGCATCTAGCTCCAGCTAATTTCATATTTGACAAATATTTTCATATTTTTTCACATCGTTCTTCAGAGAGACGCACAGAATTATTGGTTTATCAAACTCTAATTTACTAGCAACCATTTTTGAGTTCTTAAAAACGTACACTAATTTTTAACGTGTTGTATCATAGCACTATCCTTTTTGGCGTTCCTGCGCTCATAATTGCGAGTAAATTGCAAGAGGAGAGAAATTAAAGGTGTTTTGTTTAATTGTCGCAAATTTGCTGCCACTAGTCGTTTCGTTGTGGTCTTATCGTGCAAGGCCGGGGACTATATGCTTTCTGCAAAATCCTAAGGGCTAAGTCTTGGCAAAGTTTAGAGACCCTTATGTTAGGATTTTCTTTGAATATAGGGACCCACCATTAGGAAGATTTCCCGATTACAATACTACTGTTTATCTACTAATTGCTATTTAACCTTTGTTAGCTCCCTCAAGCTGCAAACGGCTGAAACAAGCAGGTGATGAAAAGAGTTCAATACACGAACATTTGATTCGACCTCCAGTATCTGAGGAGAGCCAAACAGTCAAACAAGAGGAATTAGACGAAAGCGCTAATGATGAAGACGATGATGATATAATTTGTATAAAAGAAGAAGCCAGTCCACTAAATCATTTTCCAGAATTAAGCAGTAGTGGTGTTGACCAACTGCGAGTAGGAACAACAACAGCTATTGATCCATACGAATCTTCGGAAATAATTCCCGGCTTGTTTAGTGAGATTCCATCGTTCGTCTCCAACGAGAATCATTTGGGCTTTGGTATCGATTGGGAGCAAGAGCTTGATTTACGACCAAGATGTCAAATAGGTTCATTTACTGATGATGCTTGTGGGGCGCACCCACAAGTAGGAAACTCAAACGGTGGGCTAGCGAAAACCGGTAAGTATAAGCTTTGGCTTGCATTGATAACCGATTTGTGTAAAGATTTGGGTAATTTGTGGTGAACTCTCATTAAACTCGCGAATGGTACTTCGACTCAAGTTCAGTTCTAACGTTTTTGTTCCGACCATTGAAAATGGGGAGGAAGTTTGTGTTCGGGTGTGCTATAGTTTTTTTTTGTTTTCCACGCAAAATCAGGTACCACAAATAATGATCGGACTGGGTTAATTAATGTATCATATTAAAGCCCCTTCAGTCGTGATTTGAACCACATTTAAAAAATTTCAAAAAATTTCCCTTGTGTTGAGAAAAACCGGTTTGAAATTTCGGATTTTTTGTCTTAATTCGAGCGAATGAAGCAAGCGAGCAGTCTTTTTTGTTTTCCACGCAAAATCAGCTACTGCAAATAATCATCGGACTGAATTGACTGATATATCATATTGAAGCCTTTTCAGTCGTGATTCGAACATCAAAAAATTTCGAAAAAGTTTTCCCGGTGTTGAGAAAAACCGGTTTGAAATTTTTGATTTTTTTGTCTAATTTCGAGCGAGTGAGCAGGCTTAGATTATTTATGCAGGCTTATTTATGCTTAATTGAAGCCTTGAAAATTTCTTTTTACTTTAATCAAGTTAGTTTTTGGAGTTTTTAGTTTTATCTTGGGAATTAAAAAATTTTGGGAAAAAATTTTGAAAAGTTATTTTAAAAAAATTCCTTTCAATTTTTTTTGTTTTTCTTGTTATTTATCTTCAAAAATTGTTTTCCACATTGCATATTTTACATGACTGACGAAAATTCCTAAGCTTCTAAGCTTTTCACTCAGATTCATTTATCACACCAAGCCGAAAAAACGACACTAATTGGAAAAATAAATTTGTTGTCGTTTTTTAAGACTGGTCGGAACATTCTGTGCTACGGAACATAGTGATGTGGGAGAGCTGGGAAAATTATTATGGTCGACCTATAAAAAGGAGATCGAGAAAGTTAAAGATTTTTTTTTGAAAGTCCACCCCCTTCGAGAAAATATCCAAGATCCGCTCCTTGATTTACACCAGAAAAGTCATTGCATATGCGGATTCTTAAAAAAACGTGAGCATATGGTTCGTCTAGTTAGGTTTTTATTTTTTGTATATTATTTATCCCATTCGAGCTGGTTAGCTTTTAATTAGGACCCTGATTTGCCGGTGTTCCCTCGATGTCCAGTCATTTCTCGTAACCACAGGGGTGATTCATACTTCAGAAAATGCAATTGGGGTCTACAATATAACATTGTGGTTCTGAGTACCGAATTGGTTTTTCAAAATTAAACCTTGCGATTGGCAAATATGTTGGAAGCAGTTGATCAATTTTTTTTCTATCTCTGTTGAAAGATTTGTTAACACAATTGCAAGTTAGTAAGTTTGTGTATCTGTACATGCTTCTTTGTAAGTTCAATGACTGATTTTTTGGCGCAATGGTGGCGAAGAGACTCGAGACGATGAAGCACTGGTTCAAGTTTGGTTGCCCCCTTGCTAGAAGGTCTTTGCAATCGGGCTATTAATTGTCTGCTCATTTTTGTTGACTCAATTCTGTTTATTAGTGGCTAATATTTAGATATGTCAAGCGACAATGGCGCAGGTGCGAGAACTTGAGACTCGTAGTCTCCAGGTCAGAGATTTCTCTTCCGTAACTGCAATCGAATTATTTCTTCTGCATTTTTTGCATTTTCTTTCCTTGTCTACCTTTTAGAGCTACTGTTTTTTTCATTTTCTTGCTTGTGTTTGCGAAGTGCAGATTGACGTCGGATCGTTTTGTTTCGAAAAAATTGGATTATAAACTTTTGGGAACAAATAGTTTTTGAATGAATTTTCGGCGTGTTAGATTTTGCCAATTGAATTTTTTCGACTATATGAGGCTTTTTACGCATTTTACGGCAGTTCGTTAGCACTGTTAATTTCTTTCTATTCGGGTTAACAACTGCTTTAACAAAATCACTGATTCATTTTGTAATTAGAAAAGTCTGTCAACCGAACCATTTCTAGCATTTATGCATTTTAAATTCATTTTCTAATCAAAACCAGTTTCGGGTTTCTTATTTATCTTTAGTTTTTCTGCTTAAAATGTTTCTTCGGAGGTTACAAAAGCATTCAAGTTTCGGCTAAACTTGTATCAACTTAACCGGTTCTTCTGGTATCATTAGTAGTCAGAAAAATCTGCAAGAGAGCCCTCAAAATCGATACATTCGAGCTTGATTTTATCCGAGAAGCCGTAATGAAAAAATTGCAGAGATACTTCTTTTGTACCTTCAAATAGATACATTGTTGTTTTTTTTAACCTAAAAGTTAACTTACACAGGGGCGTTTGCTCGTCCCGTTACGCCAGTGTCGCAGCCTGGGATTGGTGCTTTCGTTTGTATTTTCTTCATGTCTTGCTCTGTTGTTACTGGTAATTTCTCGCCAACAAAACTGGCGCTCATTCTTTTTCCTAGTCCCCGTTTATTTCTTTGCCGTTGCTGATGGTTCCGTCGTCGTGTCTTCTTTATTTTTGAGGGCTTCACGACACGTTCGTTTGTGTCTTGGCATGGTTGTTTTTGGCAGGCTACGCACGTCCCACGAAATGCTCAATCGAACGTTTTCGATTGATTGGTTTGGTTATGATTCTCGTTGAACTCCTCTCGTGTTGCACATTTTGTCTTCACACCCTACCATTTATTTTTGTTGTAACCGCAACAACAGTTTTTTCTTGGAATTTATCAGCAAAAATGTTATCTTTTCAATAATTGGAGGTTTTAACAATCATAACTCTTTTTATATTCAGATGTTTCTGCTGAGTACTCACTGGTTAAATTTTTCTTTGAGTCATCTGTTGACACTTTCTGTTTTAATCTTTTTTAATCTCTTTTAAAATGGCCTGAAGCTAAAGAGTGTAGTCCGACAGAATCATAAAACCGTTTGATGTCAAATGGCAGGAACTTTTTTGTTGACTTCTTCAAAAAAAAATCAGATGCTTCTTGCTTTTGAGTGTTTTCATCGACTCTCGAATGACAACTCCATCAAACAAAACTGACTTGTGTTTCTTATGGTGAAGCGTAATTTAAACGGTATGCGTCTGGAAGAAGCAAAGAAAAAACGAGATTAATGCTGTATACCTCCCTCGGATCAGAATCTTGATATTCACTGAAATGAAATTCCCCCGCATTTCGTTCAAAGAATTTTGGGAATTGTTGCCATCACAGCTTCTGGTGACCAAGTATAGGATGTAGTACCTGTCCCTTGGACCTAGATGTTGGATCTAGACTCCATCTGATTCCGCATTTCTCAGCTTAAGTACCCTAAGTGCTTCATCCACTTCATTTAGTGAACGATTCGTTGATTTCCGAATCCCATTCAGCCGCGTACTTCCTCCATGAATATCGTTTGCTTTTTCCACTGTTATTTTGAACACCTCGGTTGCATTTTTCACTGCAGGAATCAGAAGATTGTTACAGGGTGTTTTCCAGAGCTTTTGCGCAATATTCATGTTACTCTTAGCTTTAGTACACACTTCTGACCACCAAAGTTAGCAGTCTTTGCGAGTGCTCACTGGCATTGAGCGCTTTGCTGCTTACCTTTTTGCTCTTGAAAATGTTTTCCAATGCTCCTAGCGATTTAGTGTCATCCGGTTGTGTCAAACTGTCTTCAATTAACTACTCAAATTCTTGCCGGTCAGCTTTTTTGAGGTTGAGTTTTGGTCTCTTTTTGTCACATGAGGACATCAGGATGGATCGGTGGTCCGATTCTACTGATTTTTTTTGTGGTTCATTAATTAAGATTCGCCCTGGTCGAGTGTATCGAAATGTCAGGCGTAGTTTTTCAATACGGGTAGCTCCGCCACTGTTCAGTAGGTACATCTCCTTTTATCGTCTGCATAGTACCTGTATGATCTTCCAAGCGGAATAATATCTGCCCAGATAAGGCTATTAATGCTTCTCAGCCACTTTTCTTAGTTATGGCTTTGAGTCTCTTAGGTCATTAGATCCGGACTCCGTTGGTAGAAGATTGATAGTGTGTACCTAGAGTCGGTTAATTTCAGTCTTCACTGCTAACTGCTTCAACTGCAGCTTCAGGGCCTTGTTCCATTTCACAGGTGGTGTCTTTGCGGTCTTCTCTGGAGACTACCCAGTCGATACTTTTCGGAACTTTTGCCATAGCCCAAGTCCAGTCAAAGATGTTATCCCAATTTAGGACTAGAATGTCGGCTTGCGTTTCGAACGCTAGCTTTCTCAGCACCTCTCCTTTTCCACGCCATCCATCCCCGTTTAGTTGGACTATCTTCTAAAAATGGGACATAGGTGTTTTTCTTCATTATATACGCTGTTTTGATTTTTTTTTCGTTCATTCTGATACTGCTTTTCCTTAGTGATTGTGTTTCCGGATGAACGTTTTTGGTAGTTATTATTTTTGAACCGACGTTTCAGTCTGTTAATTTTCTTTCACTTTGCAAATGATAGGATGTTCTCCGCTGAAAATGACTGAATCCGAATACCATCCTTCGATGGCATTCATCCCTACTCAAATAAGATTTGTTCTTGAAACTATCATGGATATGAATCTTGCAGGTAGGACGAAGAAGAATATTCAAATTAAAGCAATAACATCGACAAAAAGCAGCGAGAAATACTCAAGTCCAGTCAAAGATGTTATCCCAATTCCCCTCCCAGAAGTTGGCCCCAGTGTAAACCAGTATTACAGCTGCCCTCTATGCGATAATCAGTTCACTTGTCGGCCAAATGCACTTCGACATATGAAGTCAGTGCATGGAAATGTTCGCTACGAATGCCAAATTTGTAAGAAGAGCTTCAACCGAAAAGATATTTTGAAAGGACATATCATGGGATCGCATGAATTAAACGCAGAAGTAGCACGAGCGATGGTCGATTGTACTTCTACTTCCAACAAAATCACTTAGCTCATTGAATGCGGACAGGGAGAGGGGGAGGAGACGACTGGACAATCCAGTAATTTGAGTTATTTTCTTCTCAAACTTCTTTCAAGGTGGAATTCTCTCATGGTTAATTGATGTCTGGTCAATTTTGTTGTACTTTTATTTTTTACACGCACGCCTAATATATATTTCCTTGCTAATAAGGTTTTTATATGATCCATTTGATGGTAGATTAGCCAATACAATGTCGTTCTTGCAATCTCAGGTTTAAACTCATGTCACCTATGACGAGATGTTTTTTTGGTTGGGAGAATGTTTTATGACTCTGACAAACAAGCTAACAAAACGCTTGCTAGGCTAGGAAAATCAGCAAAACCCACATAAGAGTCTTCACTACGTTCCTTACTCTTTAAAAAAGACGGGTACTTTTTGAGAGTAATGCACATAGTGAATACTCTTATATAAGTCTTGCCGATTTTTTTTTGAGGAAAAAGTCTTAAGATATTGATGCACTTAAGGTATATATGCACTTATTGAGTTCAATGGTAATTCATCTGTTGAAAGAGATGTAAATAGCACTCTCTTAATACGAACGTCCAAATGGCGTAAAAATTCGTGAACGATTTCTAGTTTCGAAAGTGGAATTTAATTTTTAGATTTCCAGCGGAATAAAAACTTTACCTGTTGATCCAGTTTTCTCAAGTTGGTTAATATTATCAAAAAAAAGCGCCTGCCATAAATCTTTCTAGAAATTCAAAGAGCTTATAGGCATCTATTTTATTCTTTGAAATTCGAAAGTTGAGATTTTTTCAACAAACAAAGTCAAGTGTTTTTTTTTGTGTTTACTTGCGTTCATTGCTCTTTTCCAATCATTGATTGGTAACGTTTTCGATATCTCAGATTTTTGCGCTTTCGATTAGCACGGCAGTTGCGAGACCGCAACACGGCCATGGATGTAGAGAACCTTCCGCTAGTAGCCACATATCCTCCGCTGTGGGGGTGCGAACCACTGGAGTATGAAACATATAGCGAGGAACTTGAAGCGCTCATACTGAAATATAGCAAAAAGTGTCTCATTGATGGAGCGAATTTCAACGCGGCAGTGGGAGACGAGTCGGTACGAACAGTGGAAGATGCAACCGGCCTTACGGACTGTATAAAACAAACGCGGCAGGGAGGTCGCTAGTAGAACTGTGCCACGCCCACATGATCGTGTGGGTAAACTCATTTTTCTGTCACGACAACCGAGGACTTGGAAATGCCCCAACAGGAAGACATCACATGAGTTGGATGGCTTTCTGCCAAGGAAAAATGAACGCAGCAGAAGGTTAAAAAATTTACAGACATTTAACGTGGTACCTGTCAGACCACTAGCGGAAACTCTTGGAATGCTTGATAAGAAATGATAAAAAAGCGAAGAAATCTGAGACCCGTGACGGAATTGACTTGGATGCTCTACGGGGCGTCAATACACAAACGCTCTTCTCAGAGGAAATGAACGAGAAGTCTGCAATGGCATGTACCCGGGATGTTGATTTGAGAGTCTGCGGAAAGAAAAGAAGAGAACTCTCAATGCGTGGATAGACAAATACAAAGAAGAAATATAAAAGGAAAGGTAAAAGAAGCCAGATAAAAGGTAAGGAAAGTGTTTAAAGAAGAAGAAACTGGATAAATATTTCTATACAAGTCGTAGACGAGGTTAAAGTAGCTATAAGGCTTGGTGATTTTCGGAACTCGTACAAGAAGTTACACGATATTCGATTCAGAGATCTGAAAACCCTTGAAAACGAAAAGTTCGCTCTTGAAGAATTTAGAAACCATTTGTAGAAATCACATTTGGACCTGGTACAAGAAATTACCCGATATTCGAATTCAGTGATCTGAAAACCATTTAATGAGAAAAGTTCGCTCTCGAAGAATTTAGAAACCCTTTTAAGGCAGTATCAGAGAACAAATTTGTAAGGAGGATTAAAGAGCTTATGGCACCGGCGAATGAATGTCTCGTGAAAAAAAGATCTCCCATCAAGGCGCGAAATCCAGCAACTAGACTAGAAGGTAACCTTCCCGAAATTCTAAGACGAACGGATGAAAAGCGGGGCACCCGGAATTGAAGGAATAGAAGTCTCGCTGAAAGCCATGAACCAAGACAAGAAAAGGAGGCTGTTCAACGTAACAGTAAAGCATCTCGAAGAACTCTATTATATATGGGAAGAAGCGAATACGATCGGTTGGGTAGTGCAGCTGTTTAAGAAGTGCTGGAGAGGTGATTTGAACAATTACCGAGGCGTGTGTCTATTGCCATTGATAAATCTTCTGTGCGCAAGAATCTTTGCCACTGGTTTCCACTTTCAAGTAAAGGTGCGGACTTGATTGAAAGCGGAAACTAGGAGGATGTCGCCCGGCAGCAGACTCCATGGTGAATTGGCTAACATTGCGTTGAGAACAATGATCGGGGAATTATTGTTCGCTGATGACTCAAACCTTGATGGGTTGCATGGGCGCGCTCAAATAGGGTAAGGAGATGTTCAAGGAAAAAATAATGTAGTTAGAAGAACGCTGCGATGACAGAAAAGAAGATTTTTTTTTGCTTTGGATCAAAAGATCCAGACAACACCAGAGTCCTGGGGACATATAATTGGCCGAAAGGAAGACAGACAAGAAAAGATAAAGAGAGCTAGCAAATCATGGGCAAAGCTTATACCCAGATTGGAAGTCGAAACTGAGAAGGAGAACCGAAGCCGTACTAGTGCAAACAGTGGTAGAATCCACTCTCCTGTTGGATTTTCTGGCAAGAAGTTGGACGAATACCGATTTTGGCAAACTCCAGAGTGCAGTGGATCGATGCGATAGATTTGTATTTGTATGGAATGATGGGATGAGATTACCAAAAAGGATGTTGAAAGAAAAAAACGTACAGCTAAAACTTCAGAAAAAACTGAACGTGCACTGCGTAAGATACAAAGTAGAAAAGGTCCCTAGAGAGACTAGTTCCAGAATTGCGGATGGCAGACACCAGACTGTCTAAGAAAATAATATTGGGAAGATGAAAGAATTCAAGACGGAACATTGGAAACAGAGGTAACATATCATCATACTGCAAAATTGCTCCGCGATATAGGTCAGGTCTGGACCAATGCAGAGAATCTGACTAAAGCAAGGAAATCATGGAAAGCGATAAATGAAAGAATGAAGTTCATCGAGGATTGGGAAGATCAAATGGCTTATACAATGCGTGAAGAGGAAAAGCTTGATGGAATCGAAAGAATGAAGGATTTTTTTTCGGTGCAGTTAGGGGGCCGCGGGAAGGGGTGCCTCGCAAAGGGAGGCCGGACACAGCATGAAAGAAGAATGCATCAAATCCCAAACAAGCAAGAGTTCGTGTCCGAAATGCAAAAAAAAAACATTCACGGAAAAACAATATGATGAATCATGCAAAAACATGTCGCGCCGAGAACCACAATGCATCTCGAGTAACGCAAAATCCCCAACCTGAAACAGCAACATCGACAGCAGGTCGTTACACAGGTCTCAGCAAGAGAAAATTGCCTATTTTCATTTGAAATGTCTTGCTTGGCGTGTTTCCTAGAAAACTTGTTCGATAAAAACTGTTATCAAATGTATGGAATTGGGTTTTTTGTTTTGTTGTTTTTTGAGACGCTTTGGAAAATTTTTTTTACTTTTTCCAAAACGTTTTATACTGATTTTCAAAAAAATGGTATCCATAGAACGAGCGCCTACACTCTTGTGTGTCTGCATGCTCCCCTGGTCTTTTTTTGCTTTACCCTTTTGTCTACAGTCTTCGAAAAAGTCTGTTGGGGGAATATTTGACCTTTTTTTTCATTTTCTCAAACTAAGCTACCTGCAGATACTAAGATACTGCAGATATGAAAAACTTCTCTCCATAACTTTTTACTCCTCGGAAACATGAAATTTTTGATTTTTTTGACCGTTTTTTTAAATCTTTTTGACTTCTCTCGTAAACTAACCTCCCAATTCTGAGGTCGTGGGTTCAATAGAGCTAACGGATAGTGGGAAGCTCCCTTGCATTATTGGACACTTACAAAATTTTTTACGCAAAGTTATCGTCCTCGGAAAAATCACTTTTTTGGTTTTTTAGCATTTTTTATCTAAATTTTATGACTTTTCCCAAAAATATATGGGGTATTCTATAATAAAATACCCTCTCATATATGGGATATTGGGTACAATTCAAAGAACAGATTGTAGGAAGCTCCTTTGCATACCATACTCTGTCGAATTTTGATTTCCGACCGTCTTCTGAAACTTTTTGTGAACTACCCTGCCAAATCTGAGTTTTTGGGTTCAATCGAAGTTGCAGGTTAGGCGAATCTCTTCTGCACAAGCGGCTTCGTCTTATGTTCCTCCTCGTGTTTAGGGAAGCAGAATCCGTAGAAACCCAGCCACCTCGCTATGCCTGCAATTGCTGCAGTAGAGACAACTCCGGCAAGGCCGCCGCCACCTTCTTCAAGCAATAAGAGTAGCCGTCTCCGTCAACCATATCAAACTGTAGTTACAGAAGCTTCGGCTTTGCCTCAAGTGGCATCGCACATCAGCCACTTTTTCAGCTGTCCTCTTTGCGAAAACCAGTTTACGTCAAAGTCAACTGCATTGCGACATATGAAATCAGTGCATGGAAATATTCGCTATGCTTGTCAGATTTGCAAGAAAACTTTTAACCGTAAAGACATTTTGAAACAGCATATAATGGGTTCGCATGAAATGAATTCTGAGGTTGCAAGAGCCATGGTTGAGTGTGATTCTACCAAAAACACACTCATGAATGAGTAGTTAACCTATGAATGAAGTATTCATCCATCTATGAATGAAGTGTATGTTGAATATTGACGTTCATTTGCCAATTAAACCCCGCCCCGCCCGACTGGTAATACCTAATCAATCTTAAAATTATTATAAGCAATTCGCATTTTGAAATTATTTAAGACTGGTCATGACAAGCGAATGTATTTAAAAATTTTGATTTGCTAATCAATAACTTTCCCTGACGATAATTATTCACTTTTAGATCGGTGCTGGATGTATGAGCAGTCCAAGAAAGCACAATTCCTTGCTCAATTTGTAGATCCTTTATTGTTTATCGCATTGTAAGACTTCCTATGATTTCAGCGCCTGATTTTTAAAAATGATTGCCTATTTTGAAGTAATAACTTGTTCAGTAGTTGCAGTGTTTATAACATAAATGTATGTGTCATTATTTTAAAGTTAAACTTGTGAGCAAATATCAAACTGGTTTTGAGCTTAATATAAACTTAAAATTCAACATGTGAAGAGGCTATTTGAATAGAAAGAGTCAGAGCTTTCAACAGGACAACTTTTACCATCTTTTTGAGCATGAGGTCCACCAGGTCCTCACGCCCTCGTCCGGATTCTCCTCAGTGGGTTGTTTGACCAGACAGTGTTTAAGCATGGTGTGGATGTCCTCACTGCTGATTACACTCTCGGTAGCATTCACAGCTGACATGGAGTACACGTCGAAACAGACTACAAATACAATACACATTAACAAACATACACAGCCAATCGAAGATTGGAAAAGAGTTATGAACCCAAGTAAACATGAAAAACTCTCAATTTTCGAATTTCAACGAAAAAAAGTGGATGCCCTTAAAGCTCTTTGAATTTCTAGAACGATCTATGATTGGCGCTTTTTTGGTAACATTAACCCAACTTGAGAAAACTGGATCAACAGGTAAAGTTTTTATTCCGCTGGAAATCTAAAAATTAAATTCCACTTTCGAAACAAGAAATTGTTCACGAATTTTCACACCATTTAGACGTTCGCATTTGGAGAGTGCTATTTACGTCACTTTCAGCAGATGAGTTTTAATTGAACTCAAAAAGTGTATTTATACCTAAGTGCATTCATAAAAGCAGCAATATATGATTACGTCTCAAATGGCATAATTCCCAAATGGCATAAAAATGAAAAATTTCCCAATTGGCATAAATTTCATGCAACACTTGCTTTGGAAAAATCTAGAACAATTTTTTCGTGCACAATGTGAGAAATTTAGTCAAATTGTCAATTCAAATGTTGATTGACATTTTATCGTGAAAAACTTGTAGAACTTTTTATCAAAAGCAAGAAGCATAAGCTTGCGATTATTAATAAGCTTCTTGTGGTCAATTTTTTTTCGACAAATCTGCTGCTTAAATTTGTTTGGAAGCAATTAATTCCAAATCTTGTTCACATGCTTTCGTTCCTGACAACATGATAGAAATTGATAGAAAACGTTTAAATTACAATGAAAACTTGAAATTTATGCCATTTGGCAAAAGTTTCCATTTTTATGCCATTTGGGAAGTTATAAATGCACATCTGTAGTTATTAGAGACTTCTATGCACATTTCAAGACTTTCCTGAAAAAAAAATCAGCAAGACCAATATAAGAGTCTTTGTAGTAGTTAGCAAATGATTTCTTTTTTCATTCATGCGTTCCAACTTTTCATTCATGCCTTGTCATGAAAGAACATGTGTGAAAGAGCAAAAACATACTCTTCGTAGTATTTAGAACATTGAAAGATGCCCGAGGGAAAAAAAGCCCGGCCTGAGGGCAGGAAGTGCCCGAGTGCGGCTCTTTTATCCGAGGCCATCTTCAACTATGTTCTAACTGTTGAAGAGTATGTTTTTGCTCTTTCTGAGAGAAAGGTGCCAGAAAATTGTGAAAGAGCCCGGAAAAGTGCGCGAAACTATGCAAATGATTTCTTTGTTCATTCATGCGTTCTAACTTTTCATTCATGCCTTGTCGTGAAAGAACAGGTGTGAAAGAGCAAAAACATACTATTCACTACGTGCATTACTCTTAAACAAACAAAATTATCCGAAAGCAGCTCCACAGAATTATATCAACACATGCATTTAGTTACAGTTAAGGCCAAATTAGTGGCAACATCTGTGACCTTCAGCAACTTTGTCAAAGAAAAATGGTGCGTTCGACAGTTTAACCTACTATATTGATGTCTAAATGAACAATTTAAGATTCAGTAACATCGCTCAGATTAGTTGACCGAAACATATTTAAGATTAACTACACAGCATCAAACTTTTTTTCGCCCTTTCAAAACATACTTAAGTACAAGCGAGAAAAATAGCATAAGTCCACTGTTCTGCGAGGATTATTTGCATATGATCAAAAAAAATTTTGATCGTTCAATAGCATTTAACTTTTTAAAAATGACAAAAAACTAAAATCGCATACGCTTAGCTGAAGAGTTAGTATAATTTATACCGAGATATCATGGGGGGACGTGATTAGCAAGATGCTTATTTACATTGAGCTTGCTTCTCAAGAGATCCCTTGAGGTAGATGGACATCCTTTTCACCTACACTTTTTTGCTGATCAGTGAGTCATTGTCTCGGTCAAATGCCTTAAACGCTAAGACATCAAGCATTCAAAACTCAGCCAAAAATTGAAGCAACTCCAGCCGTAGAGGGCATAACGTAACAGGCGACAATTCATAATACGGTATTAGCATGTAGCGCACACTTGCTCTACTGCGCTGACATTTGGGACGAGTGGTAACAATGGTCGCTTGGTTGATTCTGTTTTATTGTAAAAAATTGAAACACTTGGAAATATCTGTGAACTTAGTTAAATCATCGCCCAGGAAATAAATATTCCTGGAAATTTAGTATGTTTTATCCTGACTACGTGTCCGTGCAACTGCTAAGTAGGAAGTGAACAATTTCAAGTTTCAATATTTAACTTTAAATCACTTCTCTATATCTTACCATTTGAAGTAGTGACAATAATTTAGAGGTTCGATTTGAATTATAAAATATAATATTTGCTGCGCAATATTGTGGATCTTCTTAGCTTCCTGCCTATAAGCTTGTGTAGGGAATCGGAAGTGTTTCAGGGAAAAGTCAATGTTAGAACTTGAACTTATTTGAGAAATAATGATGTCTGAGACCTGACATCAATAATTAACGATAATGACACTAAGACGAACGACTTGTCAGGTGGTAGAAATTCGTTATATGCAATTGTCAAGATAATATGACAAGCACATGGAACCAAAGCTGAGAAAATCCACAATCGTGCTCAGCAAATGTTAGCGAAAATAAAGAGGAAAACGGTGAAACCCGGGACAATCAGTAAAAACTTTGAATCTCCCAAACCAGTTGGCAACAGTTCAATAATAAGCGAATCTAACCTTCAATAATCAAATTACTTGTGAAATATTTAAATTACAATCTTGCTCAGAAAATATTAGCGATATTAAAGAGGAAAATGTGGGAACCCGGGACAATCAGTAAAAACTTTGAATCTCCCGAACCAGTTGGCAATAATTCATTAAAGCTAATCTAACCTGAAATATTTTTTAATTCAAATCGAACTTCTATAATTTACCTTTCTATATCATACACTTTGAAGTAATTGAAGTAGTCAAAGTAATTGAAGTAGTCAGTCCTGAGTAGTTTCATAGAGAGTATCAAGTGGCGGAAACTTAAGTGTTTTCTAAGCAAGCTATTCAAGAGATGAAATATTTAAATAAGTTGATGAACTGAACCGGATGGCGAAAATTTAATTGTTTCTGAGAAAACCTTTTCAGCTATGAACCTTTGAAAAATTTCAATAAATTTCTTGAAGTAAATCTGTTCAGGTTTTCCTACAAGCAAGCTTTTCAACCTATGAAATGTTTTCATTGATCGAACTCCTTAGCAAAACCATTTTCTAAGCAAGGTATTCCAGCAACGAACCCTCGAAATACTTATTTCTTAGACTAAATCGGTTCGAATTTTTTTTGCTAGGGTAGCTGTTCGAGCTCTGAATTATTTCAAGTTATTTCATAGATTGCGTCATTTCGCTAAAAGTTTTTCTAAGAAAGCTATCCTATCTCTGCAAATTTGAAATATTGCAAGTGATTTCAACGACCGCGAATCTGTTGGTGATTTTTTTCGAAGCAAGCTATTCAGGCTATGAAAGTTTGAAATATTTCAAGTTATTTAGTAGATTGAATAAGTGCGCGAAAACTTTAGATTTTTCGAAGCAAGCAATTCCAGCTCTGAAACTTTGATGAAGTATTTCAAGTTATTTCATATACCACGAATCTGTTTGCTAAAAGTTAGTTTTCTAATCCTGGTGGTCGCTGTTTTAGTTGTTTCGTTTTATACTGAAAGAAATCCGTTAAAACAACATTTAGGACAAAAAGTGGGCAAGTACCGTCTAGCCTTGCAGTTGAATCGAGTTCATCGTTATTATAGAGTTCCGGACTTTGTTCACAAAAAAATTCTAGAATTTTCCAGACTTTCGAGTATTCGATGGTTGCGCTAAATGAGTCTTGAATGCTTTGATCGAAGCCTTCTTAAACGTTGTGCTCGGTGGTATTTCTTATTTTAAAGATCTATTGGTCGTAATTCGGATTCCATAGAAGTTCTCGTTTTGGTGGCAGTTTTTCTGCATACACTGGCAATTTAATAGTCTCTTCTATCGGGTTTATTTATAGTTTGTTTCCAATTTAAAAGCATCTCATAAAACTGAAGTCAGTGGTTCTCGTCCGGCTACTGGCAATATTTATTTTGAAAGCTTTTACTGCCTTTCCTTTCCTTATTTAACTGTTGCCTGTGTAGAATGAAAAAATCTATGCAAAGGTAGAATTCGATCGCTTTCGTTTTGATCGCTCTCTCAAATCCGAGTTTTAAAACAACAACATTCTTAGCTCCAAAAAAAAATCAGTTCAAAGAGACCATTTATTTTCTACATTGTTGAAATTCAATTTTTTTTTAATCCTCAAAACTACATTCTCGAGTTAGCTGTCCATGGAAGTCCATCCCTGGAGCCAGGCCTGGCTAGGGAAAAAACCAGGTCAAAGTCTTGCAAGGATTACCCTGGCTTTCCTGGATCGATCTAGGAGTCCAGGGCTGGTTTTCAAAGAATTTTCCTAGGAACCAGAGCTGGAATCCCAGGTTTAGGCAAAATTTAAAATCGACAATTGCCTACAAAACTGGCTGAAAGCTAAGAAAAACTGTCTCGATTAAGCTCACATGAGAAGGTAGCCAACATGAAGGTACAGATTTTTTTGTGTCCGAAGACGGAATACTTTCCTTCCCATATTAGCTACCAGTGAGCAAGCAAGAGATTATCTGAAAAAACAAGAACATACACTAGAAACCTGAAAACCAAAAATATCAGACATTATTTTTTAGCTCAAATAAGATCCAAAATGAAATAGATCAAACCTACGCTTTCCATCGCGCAGGTATGTTTCGACCGTGCTCGAGATATGTTTCGACCTTGCTTGAGGTAGTTTTCGACCGTACT